TAGCCATATACTCTGATTCAATTGTAGAATCTGCAGTAGTATCTTGTTTGCAACTTCTCCAACTTATTGCTCCCTTTCCAAGAGTGAACACAAATCCAGAAGTGGATTTTCTATCATCGATATTAGATTGAAAATCTGAATCAATGAACCTTCAACAACCAAATTAAAACTACCAAGCACTAGAAAATAGTGTTTAGTCCTTTTCAAATATTTCAAAATGTGTTTCACTGCTGTCTAATGCTCTGGACCTGGATTGGATTGGTATCTATGCACAATGCTCACTATGTAACAAATGTCAGGCCTAGTACAAAACATTGCATACATGAGACTTACCACTGCCAAAGCATAAGGAATATTTCTCATTTTCTCTCTCTCCCCTTGTGTTTTTGGTGCCATTCCCTTAGAGAGACGAATTCCATGCCTAAAGGGTAGGAACCCTTTCTTGGAATCTTGCATGCTAAATCTTGCCAAGACTTCGTTAATATAATTGACTTGTGAAAGACCAAGTAATCTTTTCTTTCGGTCTCTAAACAATTTGATCTCGAGTATATAACTAGCTTCACCAAGGTCTTTCGTTGCAAAGTGATTAGATAACCAAACTTTGACTGATGACATTATTCCTACATCATTCCCAATAAGTAGTATGCCATCAACATAGAGAACCCAAAATACTTTGGCACTCCCATTGACCTTCTTGTAAACACAAGGTTCATCCATATTTTGCAAAAAAACCAAACGATTTGATTGCCTCATCAAAACAAATATACCAACTCCAAGATGCTTGCTTGAGGCCATAAATGGACCTCGTTAATTTGCACACTTTATTTTCTTCACCATGAGATGTAAAACCTTCTGGTTGGTCACGCCCCACTTTTTATTACTCGAAGTCATTACCAAGTTCATTAACTTAATTCAATTTCAGAGATAACATGCGGAAATAAACTCAAATATTCAACTAAAAGGAGTGAACAACAACTCTCTCTTTCGAATGCTAATTAAATACAACATGAGTATTCTGAATAAGTTGCCCTCAGGCTTACAACATTAAATAATCAAATGAAGGGTACAACCCTTGTACATATATGGCATTCCGCCTACAACAAAGAGGCCCCGTGGCCAACAAATAAGAAGATCCAAATCTTGTAGCACATCTTGCTAAACACCTGAAAAAGATTCAACAACGTGGGATGAACATATAGTCCAGTAGGGATCTCAACATGGCCCTCAACAATAACAACATACAGATAGCTATGATCATGAATACCCAATCTCATACTAAAATAGTAATGTGACAGTTTATACAAAATATACATAAGTATGAACTTTTCTCGAAAACAACCATTTTCAATTAACGCCATAGGCGATTCATCTTTCGCTTTTTCCTTTCATTTAATCCCCGTTCCCAATCTTTCATAGCATTAACAATTACTTAGGAAATAAATTCACTAAGACCATTATCTCTCCATTTCCAAAAATACAAAGTGGTGTTACTCTTTTTCAAAACATAATTTCAAATATTTCGATTCCTTCAATTCCAAAGAACAAAAGGACGTTTTGGTTTCTTTATATAACACAATCATATCTATACATCAAACCCTGAATTAAAAAGGAGATAACAAATCACGACATGATAAATTCAACCAGATGAGGCAACCCGGCCTTCCAAAATTTACAATGAACACAATTCCAAGGATGTTCCTAGATGTGCCAAAAACACACCACAAAACTTCGCTCTAACTAGCTATGTGCGTAGTAAGCCAAGATACCCTTTCCAAAACAACAACAAGCTAGTTACCAGGCGCTAGTGGAAGGGATGCGTGCCTACCGATTTTAGCGTAGGTCAGTTCTCCAGGCGCTAGCTGGAGGTAACGTACTTTGATTTAAGGAGCAGGTTATAACATCAAACAATCCACAGCACAACGGGCATATAACCAAACATGTTATATGCATACACATAAACTATCAAGATACCAGCAATGTGTTAAAGTGGAATTGAACCACACAGGTTAATGCACACACGAACATTCAACACAACCACGTCATCCTCCACGCGATGACCAAAGACAAAACTCTAGATGCATGCTATATTGTACATCTATAACAGACTCAATGATACATGAGATCGCCAACCTATCAACAACCCAAGCATGTAGCTACAAATTATTTCCCCATATATTTGCACTCGACATGCATGATACAACAATCTAGTTCCCATATTATGTTCCCTATGACTGCACATAGAGTTAAAGTTCATTCTCACTTTCAATCAACTTTCTCATAAATTTTTTTTTTTTTTTTTTTCACAAATCAACTGTTCCACCACTTTTCCAAAACACATTTCTCATTTCCCCAAAATCAATTGTCCATTCCTTTTCATAACCTTTCCCAAATTATTTATGCAAAATAAGTCATATATTATTAAGTTTAGGGTTTTCTCCCTCTTTTTTCAACATTGACCAAAAATGGTTCAATCTCAAAATAAACAACAAGACTCATTTGAGGACCCAAAGATCACGAGTATTTGCCAAAGAATAAACCCTAATCTCTGTTCATATAATCATAACACATATAAATTAGGGCTTTTCTAATATTCAACAACAACATGACATTTTTTATGCCACGAAATAGTCCAATGAACCAACCAAAGACAATTAATATCCATTTTTAATCAACCAACTCTAGGTTCCCTCAGATTTTCAAACAATCCCAACTTAGGTAATGGTTTCATGCAATTATCAAAACTACCGACATTGGTCTATCTATAGACGAAGCTATTGAAAAAAGAACAAGGAAATCCTACCTCAAAATGTAAACTCAAGGAGAAGAAGCAAACTCAGAAGTGCTCCAAATCCAAATTTCTCGGGGATTAAAACAAAGCCCTCGATGATCAACACAATTTACAAAGGCCAAAGGTAGGAAAACACTCTAACTAGATCATATCCTAAGAGAGAAGTTAGGATTTAGAAATGAGGTGCTCTCCTAATGGAGGTTTTGAAAAAGTAAGATGAGAGAAGAGAAAAAATCAAAAAAGTGGATTCAAAAAAGTGATTTCACGACTGATATAAAATAGGTACGCTCGATGCGTAAAACACCCCGCGAAGCGTCAGGACAACTAGGTGTCACGCTCGAGGCGTCCAAGATCCGCTCACAGGCGCCGAATGCACTCTCCCAGATTTTCTACAGACGTTCCAAAATGCTTGAGAGAAAGAAATTCCGCTCGACGCGTCCAAACTGCCACGTCGAGTGGAGAGCAACCAACAAAAGCCCGCCGGCGTTCAAACGCCACTCGAGCGGAGAGACCAAAACCTGGGGCAAAATTTAAGTCTTAAAACACGACAACTTATTCCCAACTTGCCCAACACAAACCCAAACTCTAACACAAAGAGAAGGGATAGAATGAAGATAAGACAACAACGAACCTACGGAACCGATCCAGTTTACAGTTAAACAACACAGGGGAATACCGAGATCGCTATATAGTTGGTGCATATAAATTCTTCTTCAATATAGACCATTCAAGAATGTGTTTTAACATCCATTTACCAAATTTCAAAATCATGGTGTGCAACAATTGACAAAAGAATCTTTACAGGCTTTAGCATGGCTACTGGCGAAAAGTTATTCATAATCGATACCAATCTTTTTTGTTATACCCTTTCGCCACTAGTCTTGCTTTTAGGTCTCTACCTTTCCATTGGGTCCTAATCTTCTTTTATATACCCATTTGCAACCTATGGGTTTAATGCTCTAGGTTTATCTACTAGGTCCAAACCTATTAGAATACATTTAATCCATTTCAGATTCCTGTCTTTTGCGAATGCCAACATCTTTGTCTTTAATTGCCTCTTCGTATGTAAATGGATATCATCATCAGACAATCTTGATTCTATCTTATAAATCTCTTTAATAGCGAACTGGAGATCTAATAATCCTTTACTACGCTGAGGTTCTTGTGCAACAATTGGTTCAATGGGCTTACTTATTTTGTCTTTCACTTTGACTACTTGCCTCATCAATTGAAATGCCATTACTTTTCAAGGACAATTCTTGTTCTATTTTCATTGAAAATATAATCCTCTTTTCTGCTAACAATAATTTTTTGTCCTTTAGGATTATGAAAATAGTAACCAAATGCGGTCTTAGGATATCTAAGGAAAATGCATCTATCAGTTCTCAATTCCAGTTTATCAACATTTTTCTTTTTCACATGTGCTGGACAAACCCATATCCTAATATGCTTTAGACTAGACTTTTTTTCTAGTCCATAATTCATATGGAGTTTTAGGAATTGATTTAGTAGGAACTCCATTTAACAAATAAGTAGCAGTTTATAATGCAAATTCCCAAAAGGAAATTGGCAGTTCTAACATGCTCATCATTGAACAAACCATATCTAATAAGGTTCTATTTCTTTTTTCTGCCACCCCATTATTTTGTGGTGTGCCTGTGGAAATTAATTGAGATATGACACCATTCTATTTTAAATAATTTCAAAAATCATGTAAAAGGTATTCTCCCACATGATCTGATCGAAGAGCTTTGATGCTTTTTCCAAGTTACTTTTCTACTTCACTACAAAATTCCTTAAACTTTTAAAAGATTTCAGACTTATGTTTCATTAAGTACAAATAACCATACTGAGAATATTCATCGGTGAATGTAATGAAATAGTAAAAACCACCTCTTGCCATGTGATTTATTGGACCACAAACATCTGTGTGTATTAATCCCAAAGCTTTTGTGGCTTTAATTCCTTTTCTTAGAAATGAAATTTTAGTCATTTTTCCTTGCAAGCAAGGCTCACAAATTGGATAAGACTCAATTTTCAAAAAATTTAAAGGTCCATCCTTGACTAATCTATTTAGACATTCTAAATTGAAATGACCAAGTTCAAGTGCCACATGTAAGTTCGAATTACATCCCTTTTTCTTTTAAGGGGTAACATAAGGGTGGATATATCATTCTCAACACAAATTAATAGAATTATCAATAGGACTAACAAAGTAAATACCATCTATTAAAATGCCAGAAACCACAAATTTATTATTGTGCTTAATAACAACTTTCAAAGAAAATGAGAAACAATATCCCAACGAAATTAACTTTGAAACAGAAATTAAATTTCTACGGATATTTGGCACAAATAGACAATCTTTTAAAACTAGAGTCCTATTAAATGATAATTCTAAATAAGAAGTTCCTATAGAAACTATAGCAACTGTTACACTTGTTCCCAACTTTATTAGCATCTCCCCTTCCTTAAGCCTTCTGGTCTCCTTGACCCCTACAACACATTGCAAATATGTGAGGTCGCACCATAGTCTACACACCAAGCATTAGGAGGACCAATCAATAAATTGGTTTCAATAATAAACAAATTTAACATACCTTCTGAAGGTTTGTCCTTTTTCAACATTGCCAAATAATGACAGGCAATTTCTCTTCCAATGGCCAAGCTTTCCACAATAGAAACAATTTCCTTTGCTATTCTTTTTATCAATGCCCTTTATAAAAATACCATGTTTTCCAGAGAACTTAGAGCCAATAGATTTCTTATTAAAATTATTCTTGCCTTTAGGCTTGAATTTTCTTGGACCTTCCTTCTCACCCATCATTATAGTGGGTTGGCTCTTTAATAAGATCCTTTGTTGCTTGCAACATATTTAGCAGCTCTGATGGTGCAACGATCATCTTATTCATGTTGTAACTCAAAATAAATTGATTATAAGAATCTGGTAAAGATGAAAGGATCGCATCAATTTTAGTTTCACTTTCAATATCTACACTCAAAATTTCCAATATGTAAATGAAAGATATCATTTTCAGGGCATAGAGTACCTTCCACTATTTTGGTGGACATCAAACCTTTCATGGCAATTTGGCATGCACTTCTGCTCTGTTCTCCAAACATTTCTTTCAACCCTCATGCTGCTTTTGCAACACATTGGTCATTGAGGCAAATATGTAGCATTTTGCAACATCATCCGCCTCATGCCACTTACTAGCAGCCTCACGTTGTTCATCAGTGTAACGCCTCGAAAATTGAGCATGATATATCTATTTATGCAACAAAACTCACCTGATAGACAAACACATATATATAGCTAACTAATCCATACACTCATTTCCATTAAATCCCAAATGCTAAATACATGTTCACATCTCAATGCCCCAGTTCTAATCCCAAACATGTATTTTACAACAAGTATGAAATAGAAGCCAAACAGATAATAAGTGCCCTACAGACTTACAAATTTATCCAAGAACATTCTTGGTTACACAAAATGGAGTTTCAACTCAACACAAATACAATCCTGGGCTTACATTCAACAAATAACAATAAAACAAAAATGAAGCCTCAGCTCCGAGTCCTCCTAAGTCAATGCCTTGGCGGGGCATAGCACTTCTACCTGAAATGGTTTCCCTTATAGGGTGAGCCACAGCCCAGTAGAGATATACTAAACAACATATGAACAATGACAAAACTATAGAGTATGATCATGCCATGCTCATGATAAAACAGTTTATCTCTCTTTTTATAAAGCATGCAATGCTGAGATAGAACAGCAAATATAAAACCATTTCCATTTTAAATCATATCTGTTACATGAATATGACCCTGTGAATCTCTAGGTGAGTGTCTGCAAGTAGGCCCTAATGCACTACCACCGTCATTTTTACCAATAAACTGGAAGGCTCGACACCTAATCGCGCAGTTCTACAACCCCTATCCAGATTCACCAAGTATTCATCTTTTCGCAAACAGATACATTTCTAAACATTTCGAAAAAATAGATACATTTCCAATGAAATGAATGTAATGCAATGTCCAATGCAACAAATGAGGAATGTCGTTTAATTTACCTAAGTCTCGTGCATTTGTACAACAATCATGGCTATCCTCCACCGATAGCCCAAAATAGATATTTCTAAACGGATATTTAAACAATTAAATTCCAAAAATTCCGATAAATACAATCTATTCCACATCTCATTAAATATGAACAACTACACTAGTTTTCATATCACAATCACGTCCGGTAACCTCTCAAGGTCCATTTCTAACCGTGTCGGTTTTATTCCAACAGATACATTAAGCAAAATAATACCGTTAATGCCCAAGAAAATATCATTTTCTTTCCAAACTCATTCTCCAAGTATTATTCAATTATGACATCCTATTTTGATCAAAAGCCCCAAAAGTTAAACATAATTCCTTTATTTTCTTTAAAAATGCTCTTTTGGTCGCAAACCGGTAAAAATTCCAAAACCGATCGAGTCGAAGTCCGTTTTTGTTCAAATTTAAAACATAGCTCTTTCATAATCTTACAAACATATTCCAAGTTTACACTTTCGCAATTTGGACATCAACTTTTTATTTTTCTCTAAATTCTCCTTTTAAGCAAATAAATCACAAATTTTTCAAAAATTCTAATTAAATTATATACAACTCTTAAGCTCCATATAATCAAGTAAAAGTACATGAAGAAGTATAGGAAAAATCCCTACTTCAAGCTAGAAGAGGAAATAAGCAAAAATCCAAATTTTCAATTTTGCTGGATTTTGATCTCCACCGATGAAAATGTTTCTCTCACCAAACTCTTCTCTTTGGCTTCAAGAACAGGTTAAACAAATTAAATTATATACCAGAGAGGTTCTAGCTCTAATGCCCAAATACACTAACGCACAAAAAGATGGAAGGTGAATGTGACCTAAGCTGCTGGGCTGTCTCCTAGATAGCCACTGAATAGAGTTCCTTTGTTGAACTAACAATACTTTCTAAATGTAAAAACAAGAATACTGATCAGGCTTACAAACTTTAACAGTTATCTCAAATTATTCGTAATGTGCCAATATATAGTCAAAACCAACAAACAAAGCTTGCTACAACATCAGGGACATATTACTTAAAATTAATAGGGGAGCTCACAAACTCAACTACATTGTTCCAAAGTATGTGACATGAATGGCACCACAAACGATCAAAAACTACAATGCTTTCATAAACCTGTATGCAAAGGCATGTGCTTAAGCACCTTGCTTATTAAACTTTAACTTAAAGAACCCTCCGCGTCATATAGTTACATTTAAAGAGTCATCCTTAGTCCAATGATCCTGTAAGCTTACAGAGCGCAGAGCGCAAACCTCTCAGTAGAATCAAGGCTGTGTGCAATATGAATTGTGATCATAAATTATTGTCATACTATGAAGCATGAATATGAAAACTTGATACCATAAAGATAAACGAGATGGAATATGTTGATACCACAAATTCAAAAGCAGATCTATTTTTGGAAACACAAAACAATTCATTTTATACACGGTAGGACAATAATCAACTTCCACAAGGTTTAGAAATGTAGTAGTTGTACATTGCTTTGTAATTATATGTTCAACTATATTTCTTAAAGAAAACATTAAATACACTATTCATGTATTTCCACAAATGAACTCAGATAGACAACAAAATCAATGCAATTCACCTCGACGAATGTGATTGGCAGCAGCATAGAAGCAATAATTGGAGGTAGTTTTTTTTTTTCAAAATAACATGTGGCAACTGCCAAAAAAAATAAAAAAAAATAACTGTTATGGTCAACCGACCTGACGACCGCCCCGACGTCTAGATAAACCAAAAAAATAAAAAATTGTTCAAGAGGATGTCCAGGTAGAACCAATCCGCCCTTTTGGATTGTTCAAAATTCAAAAATTCTAGTTTACCAAATATGTTTTCAAATGTGGGCTTAGAATCATATTTTGAAAACAGTGATGCTAGAGATCTCTAATTTAGAGGCTCTAAACACACCTCTAATGAGATAGAAGAAAAAAAAAAAAAAAAACAAACAGACAGATACATCATTGACAGTGGCAGTGGGTGGGACCCACAGCCACATCACTAGTGACACCTCTAATTAGAGGTCCTAAGAATTTTTGTTTTGAAAATTGCAACCAAACATAGCATTAAAATACAACAATGATTTAGATCACTAAAAAATATACTACTAATAACACTAATGCATTGAAAATGACAATAAAAAAATAAAAATAAAAATAACAAAACATAGAAAGTGGGCGGAGCCCACTGTCATATTATTAGTGCTCCTCTTAGTGCTCTCTTTTTAGTATTTTCTAGCATTTTTTCATTGAAATATAAGGGTGGAATCATAATTTGAAAAGACAACGAAAAAGAGCCTATCATATTACTTTTATAATATTTAAAGGTTCTTGTGGGAAGATGGTGAAATTTATGAAAATGTTGAGAGTAAAATCGGTTTTTCAAAATTTTATTAAAAACTACTCTTTTTTTAATTTTATGAAAGGCTCATTCCAAATAAACTTATTTATTTTTGATTTTTTTCATTAAAAAAATGCTTATTTAATTATCCTCAAACAAAAATCTAAATCTTATTAGAGTAATGTTTGAGGGCCCGAAAATGGTGGCTCGAATTTGGCTCAAAACCCAAAACGACGTCGTTTTGGGTTTTGTTTTTTTTTTTTTTTTTTTTACTTTTTTAATGCATTAGTGCTATTAGTGGTGATGTTTTTAGTGGGATGAATCATTGTTGTAAAAGATATCATAAAAAGGGAAAGAATAGATATCTATTCATCTACTACTATTATAAAAGTGTGAAGGGTCTATTATATTGGTAACTTTTTCTTAAATTTTAATTTTATCCTATCAAATATATTGTATTTTCTAAAAGTCATGAGGAGTTATTTATAAATCAACTATCCCTTTATTTTTGGAGTTGAATACTCAAAAACGATATATCTGTTTTCATGAGTCCTATTTAAATATAAACAAATCGTCTCCCTTCTTATAAAAAAAATGGAGATTTAGTGATAAACCCCTCACTATCTAATTTGTCTTTTAAAAGGATAAGAATTATATAGGTACTTTCAAAACCCTATAATATTTTAAAACTTGTTTCTTTTACTATACAACCCCTTATATCTATCAGCTTTTCTATTAAGCCATCCTCACAGTATATTTCAGAGTAAAGTTTACTATGATTCAAAGTAAAATTTTATATCGTTAAACAAATTAATATATTTTTAATCAGAGTAAAATTTTAGAGATTATTTTATTTTTACTCCTATATTTTGTCACGATTTTCAATGACCCCTAAACTACTCTTATTTTCATGTGTACCCCTATACTATTTAAGTTACTATCAATTTTGCCCCTGTCGTCAGATTTGAAACGAAAAACGTTAAAAAAATTACATTTTAGCCCCAAATTTCAAAATAAAGATGCAAACTCACCATTTCCTACCAGCAAACCACCACCACCAACCACCACTTTAAGCCCTTCTATCTTCTTCCTCAAAACTCCTTTTTGCCTCATTTTTACGTCGTTGGATTCAACTCACGGTCTAGTTTTCATATCACGTATCACACGTCTCGTTCTTCCTCTTTTTGCATACTATCGGAGCTCCGAAAGTTGATAAAAAAAAATAAGACTTTTCTTCTCAAAGTTTTCGACTTTTCTTCGAGCCATCTTTCAGACTTCATATCTTTCTCGATTCTTAACGATTCTACTTCATTCTTTCGTCATTCTCCTCACCTCACTTCCTACTTCTCCCTACATTACCTCGCTTTCTCACTTCTTCGTGTAATGGGCGGTTTCGGTATGCCGAAAGTTGTCCGAAAACTAATTTCGAAAATTTCAAAACATTCATCTTTTGTTTCTTTCTTCTCCATCTTCCTCATTCTTCTTCTTCTTCATTTATAAAATGATGTGAAACTTGGTTCTAGGTGGTAATGGAGCTGGTGATGGTGGTGGTGGCGGTCTAGCGATGGCAACGGCGCTCGCGATGATGGTGGTCATGGAGTTTGAAGGTAGTAGTAATGGAATCTGCTTGTAAAAGAGGGGGGTTTGGTGTTTGAAAGGTGGTGGTGGTGGTGGTGGTGATGCTCATGTGGTGGTAGTGACATGGAGTTTGAAGGTAGTAGTAATGGAATCTGCTTGTAAAAGAGGGGGGTTTGGTGTTTGAAAGGTGGTGGTGGTGGTGATGCTCATGTGGTGGTAGTGAAGGTGGTTCGGGTGGTGATGAGAAGATAATACAAAACTAAAATAGGCATTGGCATTCCATTCCAATTTTCAACATACCAAACGTTCTCCAAATCTTATACAACCAGTGATTAAGTCCGAATGTCCGAACATGTCATATTTTTTCTAATTTCAACTGAAAATTTATCACTATCTTTATTGTCAATAAATATATGAACAAGCCAATCATTTAAAATTAGAAAAATATATATATTAAAAAAAAAAAACATATATAACTATATATAGATGAGAGAGAAAATAGTTTTCTCAAAGCTTGAATACAAATACATGTCTTTAAATTACAACATCACTTTTAAATCAATAATATCAATTTCATACAATATAATCACAACAAAAACTAGGTCCTCATTTGCGACAAATCTTTGTGATGACAAGTCTTCGATGGGTTGTACGTTGAAAGTCACGTTTGGTGTGTTTTGTTTAGGGTGGTGATGTTGGTAAAGTTGGTGGTTCGGGTGTTGATGTTAGAGAAGTTGATGAAGTTGGTGGTTCGGGTGGTCGGTTACCCCCTAGAACCATGCTCTACATTATGTTATAAGTGAAGAAGAAGAAGAAGAATGAGGAAGATGGAGGAGAAAGAAACAAAGGATGAATGTTTCGGAATTTTTGGAATTAGTTTTCAGACAACTTTCGGCATACCAAGATCGCCCATTACACGAAGAAGTGAGAAAGTGAGGTAGTGTAAGGCGAAGTAGGAAGTGAGGTGAAGAGAATGGCGAAAGAATGTAGTAGAATCGTCAAGAATCAAGAAAGATATGAAGTCCGAAAGATGGCTCGAAGAAAAGTCGAAAACGAGAAAAAAAGTCTTTTTTTTTTTAATCAAATTTCAGAGCTCCGATAGCATGCAAAAAGAGAAAGAACGAAACGGGTGAGATGTGATACAAAAACTAGACCGTGAGTTGAATCTAACGGCATTAAAATGAGATGAAACGGAGTTATGACGAAGGAGATAGAAGGGCTTGAAGTGGTGGTTGGTGGTGGTGGTTTGCTGGTTGAAAATGGTAGATTTGCATCTTTATTTTGAAATTTGGGACTAAAATGTAATTTTTTTAACATTTTCTGATTCAAATCTGACGACAAGGGCAAAATTGATAGTAATTTAAATAGTATGGTGGTACGCGTGAAAATAATAGTCTGGGGGGTCATTGAAAATCGTGACAAAGTAAAGGGGTAAAAATGAAATAATCTCATAGAACTTCCACCAATTGCAATAGTGTCCATCAACACGTTACAATTAAACCCCAAAAAGTAGAGAATTACAAGTGAGACCCTTTCTCACAATTGGTCACAAACTTCCTTCCACCAAACTATATTCCACATGAGCTATACTAGGTATGGACAAATTCATCACTATCAAAAAACCCTAGCTCATGTAGAGGAATTCTAAGGGTAGCGTTTGGTAGAGTTTCTAAATATGATTTGAGAATATAGTTGTAATTTGAGTTTGTAAGTTTTGGAATTATGATTTGAGTGTGAAAAATTTAGAATTATGATTTGAGTGTGGAAAATTTATTTGGTTGAGTTTTGGAAAGAGTTTTGAATTGAGTTTGAAATGAATGATGTGACATGATATTTAATTAAAAAACTTACAACTCATAACCAAACACACAATCCAAAATCCTATTCAAAGCTCATAAAAAAAATTTTAAAAAAAATTCTGAAATTTTTTTTATTTAAAATATAAAAATAAAAGGTGGAAAAAAAAAAAAACCGTACACTGTTCCGGTCAACCGGCCAGACGTCAAAAGGTACGACCGGGTTAGCCAAATTTTCCTGCCCGACTATAACCAAACACCACGTGCAAACCAAGAGTTGGAATTACAATTCCAAAGCTCTTCCAAGTAGAGCCTAAATTTTCCCTTCTAATTGGACCCCAAAAGCATTTTTCAAAAATAGTACTTTTGCAATTATACATGTACAAAAATATTTTTATGAAAAAATTACAAGCCAGTTTTCTTTTGGTCTAAAGTTAATAGGAAGAATTACTTGAATATACTTTCTCACTTTGAGAATGGTGGATTTCATGTTAAGCACCTTTATAAATTAATTACCACTCATACTACCCAACATGTCGGTGTATAGCCTTTGATTCGTTGTCATCGATTAACAATATCAAACTTAAATGAATAGTTAATTAATTTATACAAGCCTCTCAGGTCAAAGGAAAATAAGTGCATCGTAATAAAACTACTTTTTAAACTGACAGTGATCATTCTATAAGTGTTCTCAAAACATGAACTTATTACATAGCACTCTACCTATTTGCCTAAGGTCACTACCTCAAATGATGAAGTAATCATTCTATCATATAGAAGCAAATCAGGTGTAAACCATAATAATACGACGCCCAATCAACACCCATAGCTTATAACAATAATTGGGTCAACAAGGCACTGAAAAATCGTAACTCCCAACTTTTGGTTCATTAACCATTAGTATGTTTTTCTGCA